ATATATATATATATACAGTATATATTTGACACAAGATAGTTATAGAAGTTCACAGAACTGACTCCGCAACAGCTGAGTAAAACAGTTTCATCTGAGCATGTGGCACTTAAAGCATTATCGTATCGCATATCGACTATCGCATTATTTAATGAGTTATCGCATATCGCATTTTTCTTCAATATCACACAGCCCTATAAACAAGCATATTTGGGTCATGAATATTTAATCTGTTTTGCATATTGTGAATATATTCTGAAAAATGTTTGGCTGTCTAGTCATTCAGCTCTAGGGTAATGCAGTGACAGCAGTGTCTTAGACTTCTTAAACTGATGCAAAGGAATAGTTCACCTAAAATGTAAATTTACTGAAAATGTGCTCACCCTTAGGCCATCTAAGATGTAGACGAGTTTATTTCTTCATAGGAACAGATTTGGAGAAATGTAGCATTACATCACTTGCTCATCAATGGATGCTCTGCAGTGAATGGGTGCCATCAGAATGAGAGTCCAATCAGCTGATAAAACATCACACATAATCCACAAGTAAGCCACACCACTCCAGTCCATCCATTAATGTCTTGTTAAGTGAAAAGCTGCATGTTTTTAAGAAACAAATCCATACTTAAGACATTTTAATTTCAAACAAGTCCTCTATCCAATACTCTCGTCTGAATCAAGAGAGAAATGTACACAGATAAAGCACACCTTACAAGGGAAAACACTCCAAAACAGCTCTAAACAAACATTGGTGGATTTTTATGTGAGAGGACAACAGCAGATGGACTTTTTCACTGGAGGAAGCGTTATTATGGATTATGGGCTCTTATTTTGGTCAAAGGCGAGTTAAAACATCTTAATCATGGATTTGTTTCTTACAAACATGCAGCTTTTGGCTTCACAAGATGTTAACTGATGGACTGGAGTGGTGTGGATTACTTGTGGATTATTGTGATGTTTTTATCAGCTGTTTGGACTCTCATTCTGACGGCACCCATTCACTGCAGAGGATCCATTGCTGAGCAAGTGACAGAATGCTAAATTTCTCCAAATCTATTCCAATTAAAAAAACAAAACAAAAAACTCATCTAAGATGGCCTGAGGGTGAGTAAAATTCAGCAAATTTTCATTTTTGGGTGAACTATCCTTTAAACAGCATGTTGCTACTTCTTTTATATTTATTATACATGTACTTTTTATATTCCCTCTTATAATTGAGAGACATGCCATTTGTACTTTTATTAATTCATTTGTTACACAGCACGACTATTTAAAAGGACTTGTGAAGAATCCATGATATTTAATTATTGTCCAAACGTCCATTCTGCTGCTTTTGTTCATTACCACCACAATTATATATACACTAAATATCCTAATTAAATGCATTTGAATGATTTTCTAACACATTTACTCTGATCAGCAAATCTTATATCGTTAATACCCACTAGGTGGCAGCAGAGGGTAAACTGCTGTTTTTTGTACATCAAAGTCATAGTAATTATGTATGGAAATTACACAGTCATGTTTATAGATCTGAAATGAATTAATATGGTTAAGTGCATCCCCCCGAGTGTTCGTCTTCTCTGTCTACCTCTACAGGCACTTCAGGCTCACATCTTGCCCCTGACGAATATAGCCTTCAATAAATCAGGATCGAGGTGAGTTTATCAGCTGTGCTCACATGCCTGCTCCCCCTCCCTCCCTCTAATTCTGCCTCTCTCCTTTACTTTCCGTCTGTTTGCAGTTTTATAACCGGAAGCTATGACAGGACTTGTAAAATATGGGACACCGCATCCGGAGAGGAGCTGCACACTTTGGAGGGCCACAGGAACGTTGTGTATGCCATCGCCTTCAACAACCCGTACGGGTAACAGCACGGCTCTTGCGCATTTCATCACTTATGCCCCGAATCGTTCAGAATGGCTTACCCTTCATCCTTCCCTTGTTTTTTTGTTTTGAAAAAAAAAGCCCTCACTGTCTCTTTCTGCAGGGTTAGGGCACTGCAGGGTAACTGGTGTTGTTATTACAATGGGACCATTTGTCAATTTGAGTCATAACAGGAGCCCTTGTCCTTTTCTCTCTCTCTCTCTGCCCTCTTTCTCGCTCGCTCTCTCGTTTTCTCTCTCAGAGACAAGGTTGCCACAGGCTCCTTTGACAAGACCTGCAAATTGTGGAGTGCTGAAACAGGAAAGTGTTTCTACACATTTAGAGGGCACACAGCAGAAATCGTACGTTTGCATTCTCACTGTTTTCTCCGTTCATTCACTCTTAGTCTCAGCAGTTTAAAGAACAGTTCACCCCAAAATGATAATTCTGCCCTCATTTACTCACCCTCATGTTGTTCCAAATCTGTGTGACTGTCCTTTTTCAGGAGATATATCCTGGCATGAGACTCTGAGCCCAATGACATTTGACGTCATTGACTTCAAGCCTGGCACAGTGTGTCTTGATATGTTTCAGTGGATGTGATTTAAGCCATTTCATTCTCAGTGTATTTCTCCCACAAAGGCTGTTAAATACTAGAAATATTGCGCGAGTAATATGCTTTTATGTTTGTTGCCCTTTTTGAAGCTCGACAGCCCTATCCCAATTCACTCTATATGGAAAACGTTTGCCAGGACATTCTGCAAAATATGTGTTCCACAGAAGAAAGGAAAACAAATAGGTTTGGAATGTCAGGAATACAGTGAAACGAACAGACAAATACCAAGGTTCGGTTCCCAACATATCTCCTTTTAAGTTCCACAGAAGAAAAAGAAAGTCATACAACTTTGAAATGACATGAGGGTTAGTAAATAATGACAGAATGTTCATATCTGGGAGAGCTATACTGTTAAGACATCTAGGACTGAAATGCTGTCCCTTAGATGCAATAATGCATGCTTGATTTTACACTTTTTTTAAAGAATAGTAATCCGTTAATGCATGTGTCTGATTCTCTGTTTGTTTGGATGTTCATTGATTTTTTTGGGGGGTAGTTTGTATTTCTTTCTAGCATTTAAAAAAAGAAGTAGGACAGAAATAACTTCAGGGGGCGTAAATTGGATTCCAAAAGACAGTAGTGTAAATGGAAAGTTATCTGAGACCCTAACTAAAGTGGACCAAAATGACAGCCAATCCACTTTCAAGGTCGATGACAGTGTGATTGCTAAGAACACGCTTGTTGTATGTATCTTTTAACTGAAAAAGAAATGGTTGGTGAAATTGAGCAAAGCCATTCAACTCATTAGGCTACATATATCCAAACTGTTAGGGTCCCATCTCTTAGGGGGCGCCAAATTAAGTATGTTGAACAAATGATGTCTAGGGGTTTGACTTAGGATGCCAAATGGGACAGAACCCTGTGCATTCATATTTTGGAATTTGGTTGATTAATCTCAAATACTGCCTCTATTTTCTGTGTGTGCCTACTATTAGGTCTGCTTGGCCTTCAACCCTCAGAGTACCTTGGTTGCTACGGGCAGCATGGACACCACGGCTAAATTATGGGATGTTGAGAGTGGAAAAGAGGTGTCCACATTGGCAGTACGTCTCATCCTGTGGTTTTTCTGCATTATTGTTCATCATCCACATTTCCACCTATCCTGCGTCATCATTTTCCCCCTCGTGTGCTTATCTCCTATGGGATTTTTCATGATATCTCTCCAGTGATCAGTGAAAATTCATCCATGCGTGTGTTTATTAATGGCTTTGTCATCAAATCTGTCATTACGACCATTTATGGGATAATTCAAGCATTCCACTTTGTTTAGTCGAATAGCAGCGTGCCGAATACAAACAGATGCTTCATGTGACACGGTTTGAACCGGAGCTGTATAGATGTGAGAAACTTGCGGACGGAGAGGGGATGAGACGGAGCGTTTGGAGGTCTGTTCCTCATCGCGGCACATGGCAGAGCAGTCAGGGTGGCCAGCGGGTCCTTAAAAAGTCTTAAATAAAGTTTGCCTTAAAAAGACTTAAAATGTCTTAAAGTCAGATTCAGTGGGTCTTTAAATATTTTAGTCACATTGCCGCAAAAAAATTCTACTGTCACACCAAAAATCTTGGTGATGAACCCTAAAAGAATCGATATCGTTCCGTAAAAATGAGAATCGATTAATATCGAGATATCGATATTTTTTACCCAGCCCTAGTATGTAATATAATGTGTATTTCTGTCACAGGTTTGGTCTTAAATTTCACATAAGGTGGTATTAAAAAGATCTTAAGTCTTAAATTTAACTTGTTTATATCTGTAGACACCCAGAGCAGTGTGACCGAGCGCGGTGTGTGTGTGTGTGTGTGCTGTGTAATTACCCCTCTTAACTCTCTAATTATTTCTCTATGAATCTAAATTATGAATACCTCAGTGAGTTCTTACCGATGAATTGGAGAAATTAATATGAAGTGAAAAAGGCTGCCTTTCTATTAAAGCTTCCTCTCTCCACTCACAGTGTTTCTGTATTCAACACTTTCTCAGGGTCACTTCGCCGAGATCATCTCTCTCTCCTTTAACACAATGGGCGATCATTTGGTCACGGGGTCGTTTGACCACACTGCCATTCTGTGGGACGTTTCTTCTGGCAGGTTGGTGTATACATTATAGTTCATTTTTCAACTTCCTTTTCACTACAATACCACAACAGACCATTTTTAAATCTCTTAATTGCCTTGAATGCACAGATATGCCACTGCAGCTCTGATATAGAAAACACTATAAATAGAAAAAAACAACAAGATCTAAATCAGTCGTATCATTCTTATATATTGTCATAGTGCCCATCCCTAAGTCTAAGGCAATAAGGCATTATAGACATAACGGTTTGACTTTCTGTAAAGTTGTGTTGAAATGATGTGTATTATGAAAAGAGCTTTACAAATAACAGGGTTTCTGTAAGTTTTATTAAGGTTAATTTAAGACTTTTTAAAGACCAATTAAAGAAAATTTAGGCACCAACTTGAATACATACACTGAACAAAATTATAAACGCAACACTTTTGTTTTTGCCCCCATTTTTCATGAGCTGAACTCAAAGATCTAAGACTTTTTCTATGTACACAAAAGGCCTATTTCTCTCAAATATTGTTCACAAATCTGTCTAAATCTGTGTTAGTGAGCACTTCTCCTTTGCCAAGATAATCCATCCACCTCACAGGTGTGGCATATCAAGATGCTGATTAGACAGCATGATTATTGCACAGGTGTGCCTTAGGCTGGCCACAATAAAAGGCCACTCTAAAATGTGCAGTTTTACTGTATTGGGGGGTCCGAAAACCAGTCAGTATCTGGTGTGACCACCATTTGCCTCACGCAGTGCAACACATCTCCTTCACATAGAGTTGATCAGGTTGTTGATTGTGGAATGTTGGTCCAGGGGCAAAAACAATAGTGTTGCGTTTATAATTTTGTTCAGTGTAAATATGTTCTCTAAATGTATTTGTCTAGGGAGCTCAAAATGAGTTGTATAAGCAACAGTTTGAAAATACACATTTTGAACAGATCGCAATTATTCTTTAATTCATTTAATTCACAAAAATTTTTTTTAACTAGACTTAACTAAATAACTCTTTAAAGGGGTCATATGATGCTGCTAAAAAGAACATTATTTTGTGTATTTGGTGTAATGAAATGTGTTTATGCGATTAAAACCCATTATAAACGAGGCATTTGTTGCATCCAGTGGGGACATAATTACGGTTTCTAATGACTTATACTGTCTTTTTACGTGTTGCATCGCGCCGCGTAAACATAAAACCATGTCTGCATTTGTGATTGGAGAAATGACAAACAACAAGCGCTACTCTACACTGCTCAAAACTCGCGTTTGAATCTTCAGTGGCAAATCCTTTATATATAAAAACGTACTTACAGTCTGTGAGTCAGAACAGCCGGCATTGTAGTCTACTCTACCAGGATCAGGAAACAGTCCTCCATAAAATGTGCTGCACACATCTGAATATTTGGGTTGAACTTTTCTGGAACAGTGTTGTAAATACAACTTAACCACTGATTTCTAGTTCTCTTTTGGAAGGCCAGACAAAATAGTTTCGCTGTCACAACGAAACACACAGCATCTTCACGACATGGCGGCAGCAACAATACTACAGCGAGAATAAAAGTTACGCCTTCTTTCTTTGCGTGAACATTTGGGCGACGTTATGCAAATCTTCCTACATCGTGATGTAGACATGTGGGGGCGTGTTAGAACGAGCCATTTTAGGTAGGCGTGGTTGACTCTTAACTTTTATAAAGAATATCTCTTTAGATTTGAAACTTTAGTCTTTGCAACTTTACAGATCTTCTTTATGCACCAAGAGCTTGTAACACTCCAAAGAGAAAGGACAAATTTAAATTGCATCATATGACCCCTTTAAGACAAGTCATGTCACTCGGTGGCCATCTTTGAAACACCTCTCGGGCATGCAAGTGCAACTCCTATCTCTTTGAATGGGAAACATCAAATTCTCCAAAACTGTTTAGTAAGCTTGCGATCAAATTTCATATTTGAAATCACCAAAGAAATCTGACAACAACTGTGTCATAAATGTTGTTTATTTTGCTCAAATGGCGTTATAAAAAGCTTATTTCTCAGGCTAGACCAGTCCTAGGCGGACGTCTCAGAACGCTTACTGTTTCTATAGCAACCGGGACTTCTAACGGCTGCTGCAGTGACGCGCTGACTTTACCAATTAGCTATTGGCTCTTTTGCTCATAAGGCGGGGCTTCGTTCAGCGGCCATATTGATATTGTTCCCCATTCAAACCAATACGAGTGACGCGTCTTGGGTATTTTATAATATTATCTTTGATAACTTTTAACTTTTACCGTACCTACTGATCACACACACACACAAATGCTGTTCTTCTTCAGTAGTTTTGTCTTGTTATCCAGTGCAAATGTCTAAAGTTTCTTAAATTAAGATACATTGAGAAGTAAAATAGCAAGATAAGAAGTCATGTTTTCAGAGAAATTGATCAAAATGAAGTGAGTTTATGAGTAAAACAAGAACAAATATCTGCCAATGTATGGGCTCAGAAAAATCAAGGAAAACTAATTTCATACCTCATTGAGAGATATTTCACACTTAATTTTGTGGAACTTCTCAGAAAACAAGTCAACTATCTTCAATTTGAATTTGATTCCATTTCAATTTGAAGTAAATATATATCTTGAATGATATAAGGTTATTTAAAGAAAAATACATTTAATACCACAAGTCTTTCTGCTCTGATTTAAGACCTTTTTAGGTCCTTAATTTGTGCAAATTAGAAGCCCTGAATAAATGTGACTTGACATTTCAGACAGCCTAGTGACATTGTGTATTTTGTCTGTCTCTTCTAGCAAAGTTCACATTCTCACAGGTCACCGAGGAGAAATCAGCTGCGTTCAGTTCAACTGGGACTGTTCCCTCATCGTCACGGCCTCTCTGGATAAAACCTGCAAGGTTTCTGTCTCTCTTCACTCTCGTTCTGTCTCATGAAAGAGCCTCTTAAATTATGATTTCCCCCCTGAGGTTCGTTTATAATAATTTTGCATCCAAATTGAGTTTTTCCCTTCCCAGTGTTTGTCGGTTGCATCAGAAGCAGTGTGATAGCAAGATGCTGAATCAAATGAATTTGGTTATTAGTTTATATTTATATATTTATGTAGCAAGGTTCCAGTAAATCTGGAATAAGACGTTTTTGCAAGTTCTGAAACTATATTTACATGGTACATGACTGAACTCTTTTATTTTAAAAGATGAAGGACAATTCTATTTTTCATGAATGTGACCCCTTTAATGTGACCCATTTGATCTGTCTGAGTAACTCTCTTCCTCTGATTGTCTGTCTGTTCCTAGAAGTGTGAGGGCTCTTAATTATTCAGCACAGTCTGATGTTTCTCGAAAACACAGTGAGACAAAGTCCTTCTCAGCTTTTTAGCAGCTTTTGTCAGTGTCAGTTCATTTGGTGTGTCTGTGGTTAGATAATAGCACTGAGATGTCTGCATGTATGTCTGTGTTAAATTAAGAGAATGGGCAAATTCCACTGAAGGGGACACACACTGCGCCCTTCATGAGTGAGCAGGGCAGAGCGATGCCCACTCTCTAATGGAATTCACTCAATCTGACTAATACACAGTGTGTTTGTGAGGTTATTTCGGGTCGTGGTGTGGTTTGTGTGTGTGTTATATAACAGATTAGCTATTGGCTCTTTTGCTCATAAGGCGGGGCTTCGTTCAGCGGCCATATTGATATTGTTCCCCATTCAAACCAATACGAGTGACGCGTCTTGGGTATTTTATAATATTATCTTTGATAACTTTTAACTTTTACCGTACCTACTGATCACACACACACACAAATGCTGTTCTTCTTCAGTAGTTTTGTCTTGTTATCCAGTGCAAATGTCTAAAGTTTCTTAAATTAAGATACATTGAGAAGTAAAATAGCAAGATAAGAAGTCATGTTTTCAGAGAAATTGATCAAAATGAAGTGAGTTTATGAGTAAAACAAGAACAAATATCTGCCAATGTATGGGCTCAGAAAAATCAAGGAAAACTAATTTCATACCTCATTGAGAGATATTTCACACTTAATTTTGTGGAACTTCTCAGAAAACAAGTCAACTATCTTCAATTTGAATTTGATTCCATTTCAATTTGAAGTAAATATATATCTTGAATGATATAAGGTTATTTAAAGAAAAATACATTTAATACCACAAGTCTTTCTGCTCTGATTTAAGACCTTTTTAGGTCCTTAATTTGTGCAAATTAGAAGCCCTGAATAAATGTGACTTGACATTTCAGACAGCCTAGTGACATTGTGTATTTTGTCTGTCTCTTCTAGCAAAGTTCACATTCTCACAGGTCACCGAGGAGAAATCAGCTGCGTTCAGTTCAACTGGGACTGTTCCCTCATCGTCACGGCCTCTCTGGATAAAACCTGCAAGGTTTCTGTCTCTCTTCACTCTCGTTCTGTCTCATGAAAGAGCCTCTTAAATTATGATTTCCCCCCTGAGGTTTGTTTATAATAATTTTGCATCCAAATTGAGTTTTTCCCTTCCCAGTGTTTGTCGGTTGCATCAGAAGCAGTGTGATAGCAAGATGCTGAATCAAATGAATTTGGTTATTAGTTTATATTTATATATTTATGTAGCAAGGTTCCAGTAAATCTGGAATAAGACGTTTTTGCAAGTTCTGAAACTATATTTACATGGTACACGACTGAACTCTTTTATTTTAAAAGATGAAGGACAATTCTATTTTTCATGAATGTGACCCCTTTAATGTTTTAATGTGACCCATTTGATCTGTCTGAGTAACTCTCTTCCTCTGATTGTCTGTCTGTTCCTAGAAGTGTGAGGGCTCTTAATTATTCAGCACAGTCTGATGTTTCTCGAAAACACAGTGAGACAAAGTCCTTCTCAGCTTTTTAGCAGCTTTTGTCAGTGTCAGTTCATTTGGTGTGTCTGTGGTTAGATAATAGCACTGAGATGTCTGCATGTATGTCTGTGTTAAATTAAGAGAATGGGCAAATTCCACTGAAGGGGACACACACTGCACCCTTCATGAGTGAGCAGGGCAGAGCGATGCCCACTCTCTAATGGAATTCACTCAATCTGACTAATACACAGTGTGTTTGTGAGGTTATTTCGGGTCGTGGTGTGGTTTGTGTGTGTGTTATATAACAGTTTGTGTGTGTAGGTGTGGGACGCAGACAGCGGTCAGTGTTTGGCTACTCTCTTGGGTCATAATGATGAGGTGTTGGATGTGTGTTTTAACTACACTGGTCAACTGATCGCTACGGCCTCTGCTGATGGTGAGACATCTGATTCAGACTCATAATATCTGTCGTATATATCATATGTGTGTCAGTGTCTCAACTTATAGTAACAGCTTTGCCTCAAAATACAGGAATACTATTACAAATATTATTAATATTTACTTTTAAACAAAACTATTATTTCACTATATTCAAATGTTCTGAAAAATCAAAGCCTTTTTTCTGCCTGTTTATAAAAGATGTTAATATGTGCTGTAAAATAAGACTTTTTTTTAAGGGGAATTGTTTTTTGTTTTCATGCATTACCATATAATGAAACTTTTATATGACAATTTACCCTTATGAATATAGATGCTTGCTTCTCATTTCAGGTGATAGCAGACATTCTGAAATATTATATAAATATTAGTAATTTCTCTTTGCCTGGAGGACAACTTAAAGTCATGGCAGATTGTGTTTATTGTGGTGTTGATCCGAGTGTAATGGATTATTAAAAAAGAAAAAATTAGGGTGGGGACATGGTGATATTCATTGGTTGTTGTCGATTGGATTTTTGCATCGAGTTCAAAAATGAATGTGAGTTGCAGTTGATTGTGAAAGGGCTGGTTTAAGTGGACTAAATGATTGGAAAGAGAAGTCTTTTGTTTTCACCAGAAGATGCATTCACAAAATTACAGAGTTCTGCACATGACATGCAGGAACAAAAATTATATCGTGGCAGCAAATTAAGAACTTGTTCTTACAATTTGTTCATTCATGACCACATTTTACTGTTTCTGTGAGGGAACAAATTAGTAAATCATGGCTACAAATAAACCAGTAGTGGGAACAAATTCTTAATTCGTGGCCATGTTATACAGGTGCATCTCAATAAATTAGAATGTCATGGAAAAGTTAATTTATTTCAGTAATTCAACTCAAATTGTGAAACTCGTGTATTAAATAAATTCAATGCACACAGACTGAAGTAGTTGAAGTCTTTGGTTCTTTTAATTGTGATGATTTTGGCTCACATTTAACAAAAACCCACCAATTCACTATCTCAACAAATTAGAATACTTCTTAGAATACTTCATAAAAAAAAAACATTTTTAGTGAATTGCCTTCTGGAAAGTATGTTAATTTACTGTACATGTACCAAATACTTGGTAGGGGCACCTTTTGCTTTAATTATTGCCTAAATT